CACTTCACAGAATCTTCGTCGAATTGATTGAGAAGATCGTCGATTCGGGCAACGGACGAACATAAATTTTCATTGAGATCGTCGTTTAGGTTTGAAAGAAAAAAGTTCTTCGAAATGAGTAATTAGTCGATCTCAAATTGAATCTGATATCGTCGATTTGAATCTGATATTGTCGATTTAGGGTTTTTCGAAAATTTGGGGATTTTGCAGAAGATGTCGTCGATTGAAGGATTCTCAGTCTTATATAGGCCTTTGCGACGTGGAATATCGATTAAAAACAACAATTGACACGTCTGAAAAAAAAAAAGCCACGTCGTTTAAAAAAGCCCGAAATTGGGCCCTGATCATAGATTTGCAAACAATAATGAAAGTGGTGCATAATTTTGCCAAGTTTAAAAGTGGATCATAAAAATGCAAATTTCGAAAAGGTCATGGTTTTTTAAGCAATTAGGCCTTTATTTAATGTAAGCATTACAAAATTTCATTAAAAATAGAAAAAGAAATGACACAAGAATGCATCTTATGTCGGTGGGATTTGGAAAATGGAAATAGAAAAGCCAAAGCAAACCGCAATATGACACAAATTACGGCCTACATCCTCAAAATTCATCAAACACTGTCACTTACAAAATCTATATTTTTGTTGGAAAATGCTACAATTTCGTTACGGAACTATTTCGTTGGGATTTATACCCGTTAGATACACATGATAACTGTTGAGTGAAGATGACAATATGACACACGAATTAAAAACGAGAAAAGTAAACAACACAAGATTTACGTGGTTCGGCAATGTGCCTACGTTCACGGCGGCTGAGGGATCTTTTATTATTCTCAATCGTATCAAATACATCAATAACCATGTATTATACTAAAACCCTACAAGGTATAAATTTACTTAAATACCCTGTACTCGCTCCACTCCGCTCACTTCGCTCGGTCGCTCCGCTTCCCTCGCTACGTTCGCTCCGTTACGCTCGCAGGCATCAGCCTGCCCTCTTCCTTTGTCAATATATGAGTCATACCAACAATAACTAATATAATTGTGCATATAACGAATACAAATCCTAACAGAATAGTTTCGTAACGAAACTGTAGTCTTACCATTTTTTTCATAAGACAACCTAACGACTAAATGTGTCGACATTGATTCAAAACAAATAAAAATATATAATAATATTATGGAATATCATATTTCTGTTTATGATTCTTTTCATAATTTCTGATAAAAATATATACATTTCGAAAAAATATATATATAATGGCACACAGCTTATAGCTGAGCCAGTTCACATATCTCACTGCTTACCTGTATCGAGAGTATATCCATATTTTTAGGGAAAATAATTGTGAGTAATTTGAAGTATAGGTGATTTTGGAATTTGCAATTTAAAGTATTTTTTTTAGTAAAATGCAATTTAAACTACATACACAATCACTATTTGCACTCTCGACCACATTTTGATCATACACGTGCCCTTTTTTGCAAATAGTGAAATAGTTCAAATTGCATTTTATTAAAAAAATATTTTAGATTGTAAATCTCAAAATCACGTATAGTTCAAGTTGCTCACAATTATTTTTCCTTATTTTTATTGTTAACCTTGTCTTAGCTGTCTATAACTATGCCCCTGAAATCAATATTTCTCTTTGTGATCTCTCCCTCGACTCTCCAGTTTACTCGAGCAACATCTACAGACACATGCACATAGAAACATAAAATAATTAATAAATTAAAACACATAAGCAAGGATAGCATCAAATAACTCCACACTTGTGCTTAGACCAAATCAAGGTTAGCCAAGAAACCCCTTTTTAAGGTTCTTTCTCCTTGCTGCTTCATATTTGTCAAACCCCATTTTCTTGATTTTTTTTTTTTTTTTTTTCTCTTTTATAAAGACTGGGTTTTGTTTATGTTTGTATTATGATATCTGGGTTTACGCGGTTTTTCTTGGGGATAGTGAGGGTTTTGTTTATTTTTTGTATGCTGATATTTGGGTTTACGCGGTTTTTGGGAGTTGCTGCTAAAAAGTTGGAAGCTTGGATTAAAAAGATGTTGATTTGATGCCTTTGAGTTGACTCAGATTTGAATCGTTGGTAAAGGGTGACTCCTCTGATGTTAAAATTGTTATCTGCGTAGTATTGCTTGTGAATTTGTGATAAAACGCAGGGTCTTATTGTTTTTGTTTGTTGTTTTCTCAAGGAAAGCAGATGGAAATGTAATGGCTCTGTGTAGGATTAATTTTGACTCTGTTCTGTCCCGGATTTCGAAATTCGGATAATCTTGATCCCTGGCTTACACCCAAGTCATCCAGGAACATTGTATTGAAATGGATTGTTTCTGCCCCTTTTGCTTGCTGAATGAATATATGTTCAATGTTGTGTTGCCCAGTATATGACCTTTTTCATATTGAATCGTACGAATTTTCGAATTTAATGTCCTTGTGCGGCGAATTTCCTACTATATGTTATATGCGGAGGATTTGCCTTTCCACATGAATTATTGCTTCTACTTTTTTTACCTGTAGTTTTTGATGCGCCAAATTACTACGATGGGACCCACAGTATTGTATTCGAGTTGTTGGATTGCGTAGGTGTTTCTTAAAGATTTTAGTAGAGGCTGATGCTTTTCCGTCGCTATGTTTTGATGCTTAATGAAACTGAATCACCATTTTCTAGTTAAGGCATCCGAATCATGTGGAGTACAATTACAATATACTGTTTGTGTCTGCAAACAGATGTATCTCCTTTGAGCTACGGAAGTTGTTGGTTAACCATCGTGGGATTTTGAAGATTCATTTTTTGTTCGAATCTGAGGAGTCATTTCAGGATGGGCTGTTTCTGTTCAAAATTGTCTTGTTGTTGTATCTCTGAGCATAATGGACCGGTACATGAAGCAAAGAATACTGGTTGGTCCATCTAACCTACTTTTCCCCGTTTCATTATTGGCTACCCAATAGATCAAATTTGATGAGGTGATTTATTTATCTTTGATAATTTCAGTGACTGAGGAGAAAAGTGA